AGTTGGTTGTGTAAGTCAAGAGCACGGCTATCCTCTAGATTTAAAGCACCAAGGAGTGATCTGGAGGTGGGGAGAGGTTCTTTCTCAGATGGCAGTAGGACTCTAGTTCCTAGATGTGGAACACACTCTCATTTTTCCCAACTCGTCCCCAGATCCACACGACAGACCCCAGCGCTTCCCCCACACCAGTCCCACACAGATCAGCCTCTGCAGAGAAAGAACTAGGAGATGAGCACAAGTATCCCCAATGCCAAGGGGTGCCCTCCATGGGTACTGGGGCTGGGTGAGGAAGGCCGAGGCCTATGGTTGCCAGGTAAAATAACAGGACATCCAGTTAAGTGGCAACGTCAGATTAACAATGAAGAATTTCTAGTAAAAGTATGTCCCATGCAATATTGGCATCCTATTTTTTGTTTGCATGATTTTCGCAGAAGCTGGCAACTCACCTTTGGACTCCTGCCTTGGGAAGGAGCGGGTAGTGAAGCTCAGGACGAGCAGAGAGGGAGTGGTGGCAAGAGCTGGACGTGGGAGAGACAAGGGATGTGGCTATCTCTGGGCGGTTCCTAAGCTGGACTCAGCTGCAGCTCCGAACCCCTGGTGCAAGGGGACAGCGGCAGTCCAGTGTGGCCGCAGGGTCCACCCCCCCGACTGTCCCCAATCTTTACCCCTACCTTGAGCCCACTGTGGCCAGGCTCCCAGTCCTGAGCCAGTTGCCACAAGCCCCCCAACACACACATCAATTGTACTGCATGCAAACCAGCTGAGCCGAGAGCTAGGAAGACCCCTGCCTGGCAGCAGCAGCATCCCAGCCCCAAGAGCCAGCCCTGGGGTGGTGTTTGGAAGAGATCTCAGTGCCTGGATGTGTATTCCTTTTTATTTGGTTGTGTTTTGTTTTTTAAAATGCAACTGAGTCAAACCCCTCACCTTCAAATCAAGCTGTCTTAAAATGAGACCTTGTTTTTCAATTCACAGGTACACTTTCTTCATAAATGGTTTTTGGGTATTTCCTGCTTTTCATTTCCTCCTAGCCAATAGTCAGAGGGTTTCCCAGCCTGGCCTGGACAAGTGTTCCATAATACCCACTACACTTGCAGGTGCTTTACTTTGGGAAAAAATAAAGAGAAAAAAGGAAGTGGATCTGGTAGGACCCAATCAAGTTGGAGCAGAAAAGCCCAGAGGCAAGCATAAAGATGCTAGGAGGGGCAGGGCAAGAGGAAAAAGAAAATAAAAGCAGTTTTCCGAAATCTTACTTCTCCCCCACAGTTATCCTGTTTGCTCCACCCCCGTCCCGCAATAAACCAACAGGAAAGAAGATCCTATTTTCCCATTTGATCCTGCTCTCTTATTCCTAACCAACTATGGTTTTGATTTCTTTTTCCCTTTAAGAGCATTTAAAAGAATGTGTGTACATATTCATTTTGATGGTAGATAGAGACCCAGGAAGAATATATAGCCAAAGATCTTTCTTCTCCTCACACCAAAGTCTAAGGCAACCCAGGAGACTCCCCTGGAGGAAAAGTTGGAGGTGGGGAAGGGAGCCACAACACAAGAATGTAATTTTAGCTTTTCACCTTGGCGGTGACCCTTAACTTCCCTCAGCTTTTCAGCCTACGTCCTGAAAGGCTGGCTAGGCTGGTTGAGACTGCTGATTCAGATACACTAACAGTTGGAAGATCTTCATGCCTCCTGTATTTTCATGGGGAGAAGGAGTATGAGAAGAATGTAGAGGGAATTTAGAAGAATAAATGAACTCAACAGTGTATGTATATATACATATATACAAAAATATACAGCTGATATTATAATTTAAATTTAAGCTACAGATACAGCTTTTAATAGATATATAGCTTAATATATCTATATATGCAAATATATAGCTTAATAAATCTATATATAGCTTAAATCAAAATGTTGGGCTCAATCAAAAGCTAATAATTAATTCCAGGTGCATCATACATGGTAATCAAAGAGCAGGAGAAATCTACATTCAAAAGAAAAAAGAAAACTTCATAACTAGAAGTAAAAGCCACTAGAATACGAAAATTGTCCTTAAAAACACCACACATTGAAAGGGATGTTCAACATACTACACCATTAGATAAAATAACCCCAGTTCTTTAAAGAATCTAAAGCAAAATGTAAAAAAAATTTCTTCGTTACAAAACTGAGTTTTGATGTGAATACCTCACTCCCTAAATGGTGGTTTTTCTCCAGTGATTCACAGCAAACATACACTTTCTTAAGGCATGTGCTTTTCTCAAAGATTCTTGAGAGGAAAGACTCCATGTGCTTTTGTATACAAGAAAAAAAAAATTCTCTCTCCACAGCTATGTACTAAAGAGGCCCTTTGCCCTGCAAAAAGACCAACCACATTTTAAAATCAAAGTTCACCAAGTAATAGATCTACACTGCCAGCAGATATTTAAAGATTTCTGCTGGTCTGTCTACTTAATGTACATGTGGACCTACAATTCCAATAGAGATTTGCTTACTCTCTACATATAGTGAACTACTTATCCAGGAGTAGTTCTGACATCCTTCTAAATACACATGGAATGTTATACACAAATACATTATCAGAACAACTGCAAAAAGGGTATAATACCTATAGCAACAGGCAGTCTCAGTGGGCAGTTGTCTCCAACTTAAACCCCAAATGGAATTTATTCTTACAAGCACTGCGTAGAATGGATCCACTTGTATGTCTTCCTAAACAATTATCTATTATTGTCCTACCTTTCTCCCCATTCCCCATCAGATAGTGATTGGCTTTTTCAAAAAAATGAATTATGGGGTCAAATCAATTGAAAGAAGAAAACAAAAGTTGTGTACATCAATATGCAAGGTATGGGGTGGGGGCGACTAGCTGGAATCTGAGCCCCCTGATGCCTCAGTCCCCCAAAGTCATCACTTTGACCTCTCCTTGTGATAAATCCTATTCTCTTTTGCAATTACCTGTTTTCAATTTGGAAGGCTCAGGCTATCCCTCAGTATTAGGTAGGAGTCAAACAGAGAGCACAGCTCTGGTTTGTCCAGTTGAAATCCGTTTCCTTTTTCTATTCTCCTAAAGCATGTATCCTGCTGCCGCTGCTGCAGCTGCTACTCCGCCGTCCTGCCTGCCCTTACTCCTCCTCCTCCTCCTGGGGTTGTGTTTTTAGTTTTGTGACTCTTTAGAAATCATGAGCTTTGGCTATCCCAAAGAACACTCTGAAGAACACAGGATGTGAAAGGAATCCCCTTGGACAGAGACCACAGAACCCAATGCCCTATCACATGAATGCTGCTGGGCAGGTGGCCACGGCAAAACGCCACCTCTGATATTAACTCAGACCTCTGCCCTAGTCCTCGGGGAAACGGAACCAGAGAAGCAGGAAATGGAAAAAAATTAAGAAAATATATTGGTACAAATCCACTTCTAGAGCTGAGACCAAACTCCTCCTAGTTACTTGTTCAAACCTATGGGAGAAAAAAAAAAAAAACACTAAAACCTTTTTCTCCTCCTCTCATTCCTCTGTGGCAAATTCATAAATATAAAAAGATGAGACAGACAAAAGAGAGGACTGGTGAGCATTCCTGAGAAATGTTTATATGCTAACTTGGATTAAATATCCACAAAATTCAAGTTCAGCAAACTCTCTTCCATCTTTAAAATTCCCAGCTCTTCTCTCACACAGGCTGTTTGTTCTCAGAGCTTCGGGCCTGGATAGCATGACTGAAAGGGCAGAAGAACTGGACCTGCCAGCCACCCGTCAACTCACCACAAAACAGGTGAGTCTGCATCATTTCCCCAGCTGCACAGGATCCAGACAAAGCAGTCCAGTGCTCCTGAAAGCCTCTCTCCAGAAGCTAGGGTACTGTCTTTAGGGAGTTGGCATGTCAGTGTAGGTACCAGCTTTACCACAGTTCTACCTACAGGAGGGCTCTGGACTTTCCCACTCCTAATTCCAGCATGCCTTCTTCTGGGAGAAGGTGGGCCGTTTTCCTTTGTGCATTTGACCCAGAGAAACACCAAACACATGTCTGCTGAATTTCAAGAGCCATCAGAAGGGCTCTAGGGCTGGGCAGAACCGCAAGCTAGAAATTCCCCAGGAGGAGAGAGACTAAGAGGCCCAACTCAGGCCTGCCAAGCTCAGGAGGCCTGGAGGAGAGAAACAGATGGGTGGTGGGGGATCAGATTTTGTTTTTTATCTCTTTAAACCACGAAGACAGCTGAGGGCAGCCTGGGGAACAGTGTTAAAGGATCTAGGAGGTTCTGCAAAGGAGTGAATTCTGGCCCACCAGATTCTTGGTCCCCCTATCAGCTCAGGAGCCTTTCGGGACCTTTTTACGGTCATTGCTAAATGGAACTTTTCACCAATTACAATAGTCTGGAGGCCACGGAGCAAAGTTAGAAAGGGCATGGGGCAAAGCTAGAAAGGCAATGGGTTCTCAGAGTTGGAATGCTCGTCCCCACTCAAATTTTCCTGGGCCCTGGGCTGGGCCAGGTTGGGTCGGGCCGGCTGGGCGGGGCAAGGCCCAGAAGCACAAGCAGCTCAGAGTCAGCCAGGGCTGGGTCTTGGCTCATTCCCTACACCTAACCATTCCAACCCCCAAATTCGAGGCCCTCTAAAACCCGCAGCCCAGAAAACTCTGCCCCACGTAGGGCAGTGTGCCCGCCTGCGTTTTAATTTGGCCCCGTCTCGACTCCGTTTATCTCCCTGCTCAATCTGACACATTCCCCTTTAACCTGGGGAAGGCACCTGGCGACCCTGATGCACAGTCCCGTGGTGTGGCTCCCCGGAGGCGCCTTCCCGGCGGGCGCAAGTGCCACCCGCGCTGGGTCCAGACTCAGCCGGCTTCTCCCGGGAGAGGAAACACCGGCCTGTCGGAGGGTAGGAAGTAAAGCTCCGCCAGTCCCACTTCCCAAAACCTTGCCTCCAGGCCTCCCAGGAGGAGCTGCAGCAGGCACTCCGAAGTTGCCCAAGCGCCCGTCCAAACTCCCGCACCGCAGACACTCTTACCTGGCTTGGCGAGCTGCGCCTGCAGAGCCCCGGGCTGCGGCTCGGAGGTCCAGCGCAGAGCGGCGGCCGCGGCCAACTCGGCAGCAGGGCGCGGCGGCGGCGGCTGAGACGGCTGAGAGGCCGGCGGCGGCTGCGGGGCGGTGGCTGCGTCCCCGGGCGGCGGGGGCCCGGGCAGTGCGCGTAGCGAGTCCGGGATGAGGCTCTCCAGGCTCTCGTTGGCTTGCTGCCGGCGCAGCGCCACCTGCGCCGCCATGACCCTCTGCCGCTCGATGATGAGGATGCACTTCTCGCAGGTGCAGTCCTTGAAGCGGCAGTAACGCTTGTGGCCCTTGAGCCAGGAGAGCACACCGTGGTTGCGGCAGCGCGCGCACTTGGGCGTGCGCTGCAGGGGCGCCCGCGGCGGCTGCGACACCGGGCCGCCCATGTACAGGTAGGGGGAGCCGTAGCCGTTCATGCCCCAGGCTCCCGGATGAGTTGGCGGGCTGGAGGCCGGAGCGGGCCAGGGAGCGCTGGACGGCGGGGTTGCGAGGCACGCTCAGGGGCTGCCTCCGGGCGGCGCGACCCTTGGTCCAGTAGCGCCGGCGGTTGGGCGTGCCCCGGAACGGCCGGAGGTGCCGCAGCCGTCTTTCCAGCTCCCTCGGCGCTCACAGCTCGGCCTCCCGGCTCGCGCCCAGCCAACCCCCAACGCGGGCCGCTGCTTTGGGCGCACAGCCGAGTCGGCACGTCCTCCCTTGCTAAGGGGCAGCGGCGGCTGCAAGGAGCGGGCGAAAGCTCTGATTAAGGTCTGAACCAGCTCGTCTGCAGCTCCCTTGCGCGCTGGCCGGACTCAGCACCTCCTCCGCTGCCCTCCTCGAACCCCTCCTCCTTCCCACCACCACCGTCACCCCCACCCCTGGGGTCCCGGTCTCCTTGCACTCCCCGCCCCACGCCTTTCTCCTCCTTTGCTCCCCTCAGGTCCCTGCACTTCACCTTCCTGGCCACCTGCAGCCGGGCCACGCTCGCGGGGGCGCTCACGGCCCCCTCCTCCAAGTCCTCTCCGTCACCCGAGCCTGCAGCGGGAGACTGCAGCGCTCCGGAACGCGGCGTGCTCGTGGGGCGGAGAAGGGGAGGACCAGCGAGAGTGAGGGTGGGGGTCCATGTAAGGGAGTGAGGTGGCCGCTCCCCTTCTCTCTCTTCTCCTCCCTTCAGTCCTCCTGTGGCTGCGTTTTTCCGAGCCCTAGGCAGCTTTTATCCCGACATTTGGCCGTAGAAACTCAGCTCCGGGAGAACCCGAACCTACGGGAGTGTTGGGGGTGCATCACAGACCTGGGTGGAGTTTAGGATAGGGGATTGGAGTGATGTTGATTTGGGAACGTTAAGCTCTTTTCTTAATTTCCTTTTAAAACGTATTTTTTTTTTTTATCTTTTGTTGCTTTGGAAAAAATGTATGTGGAGCTCTGCCGGCCCAAGGATGACCACCCCCCCTTTTTTTGGGGGCAGGCAAATTTTACTTTTCTACCCTCCTCTCCATGTTTTAATATAAAACAATATCCTGAAAGGTCAGGGACATACATGCTCCCGGAAAGAATTTGCTAAGCGCCAGGTATAAACTTTCAAGGAGCAGACGCAGAAGCCACATTAGCGCCCCCAAGTTTATCTCTTCCCTCTCTCCCAGCAGCCACTGGGGGCAAACGCAGGTCTGGAGCCAGCCACTCAATTAAAATCCCCAAAGATTCTGTGATTTAATTATGGATATGGAATAGGGCCACTTTTGACCCCTTAACCCACAGACCCCAGTCATAGATGTCTTGGGGGAGAGGGTCCTTGCACAAGATGACAGCAGAAAACTTCGATTAGATTATTTGTGTTTTCCCATTCTCCCAAGAGTAGCCGGTTTGGCCTAGTGCAGACTATCGCTATATATGCACAAGGAAGGCCCACCCCCTCGCGCCTCCCCCTTGCCCATCAACAAACAAAAAAAACAAAAAACAGGTGGATACACTGGGAGCGGGACAGCCCAATAGCTCTATGCCAAGCGGGGCAGTTCCAGAGCCTTCGGTGGGTACGCTTCTAAGAGTGTTTGCACCAAGCTCATCTGGCGGGGAATCGAATGCTAGATGAAAGCGGGCAAGTCCGCTGCAATGCCGGACCCCTCGTGGGCACAGAGGCCCTTGTCCCTCCGGGAGGCCGCTTTTCTTCCTTTTCTCCGTACTGCCCTGGAAGTAAGCAGACAACCCGAAAACGTTCCTCTGGTGTTTGCTGTGAATTCAAGGGAAGCACTTCCAGGCGTTCTAGCAGCCAACCCTTTGCCTAGAAGGTTGATTCGCGGAGGAGAGGAGGGTTTAAAACCGAACCCGGTTGAGTGTTTCCCTTGAAGCCTTTAGCTGTCCCGTATCATACACGTCCGTGAGATGGGGATCGCGGGAGACTGACCTGGAGTGTGGACAAGAAGCCCCAGCATTTGAGTGGGAGGCCATCCTCCAAAGCCGCGTGGGGTAGGGACCCCTCGGTCTTGCCCCTTCCCCCACCACTTTAATCCTTCCTCTAGTCTCAGCCTTCTCTAGGAAAACAAGCCCTAAAGCACAACTGGAAGAAATTTCGTAAGCTCTGGGAACAGGAGGCAGAGATCGCCCGCAGCCCTATAGGCCTGAGGCTAGGAAGTGAGGAGCTGGACGCGAGTCATTTAACGCGCTGAGGTGTAGAGGGCCACGAATGACACCTTATCTGAAAACTATCGCGCTGAAACCTCCAGGTCTCTTGGAAACGTGGGGATCGACGACTTTTTTCAAAACCAAATTTCTTCCGATTTTCTTCAAATGGTCAATGAAACGAGGGAGTAGAAAGAACTTGAGCATGAATAAATTTTTAAAAGGAAAGCAGAAGAGCTCTGCACCAGGTTTGTGGGGGCATTCTCACTACCAAGGCGACCCCTCTTTCCCGTTCCTCCCTAGGTCACCTAGCCACCCTAACTCCTTGCCACTCAAACAGTCTGGCATTATTTGGTCCCGGGGGCCCGTTTCACTCCGGTGCACATCGGGGGCTGAGATCTAAATACTCATTTGATATAGTGCAGTAATCCTTTTCTCATATTTGATGGGAATGTTTTCCATATCCCAGTATTTGACAACATCTCCCTATAGGGACAGGTTTGTATTTATGTTGGTAAAATGTCCCCTGCCTCAAAGTCTATTGTAACCCAACACCTGACAACCCCGAGTCCCATTTCTGTTTGCAGAAAGGGTTTATTCAAGCACATAATGGGATCCCAGCAGAAAGCCTTTCAGAACAAGGGGCTATGGTAAACTTCACCACATGAACTCCGTTTCCAGGGCTATTAAGCTTTTAATTGGAAAATAGCAGAGGAAATTTCAAGGTGACTATAACGTGTTAGCAGTTAGTGCAGAGAAGAAAAGCTGGAGCGGGAATGAATGTAGAAAGCATATGGTCCAAATCACATTTAGGAGGAGCGGCCTGCTTCTACTAAGTCCCCGTAGCTTACACACGTATGGGAAAAATCATCAAAGAAAGTGGAAAGGGAAGGGGGAGGATTACAAGTAAATGTAACCTCACTTGGTTAGATCCACTGGTGCTCTCTGGATGGTGTGTGTTCTCAAACCGCAATTAACTGAGTAGAACTGTGGCAGATAACAGTGGAAAAGGGAAAAATAATGTGCATCTGTGGGTCTTTCTCAGCACGAAATGTCGCTGGGTGTGTGTATATGTAAAAGCTCAGGATGCAGGTGCCCTTGCTGAGAAAGTGAGGATTTTCTGACTCCAGATCTGGGAGTTCTGGTAGGTGCTCCTCATCCAACTAACACGTAATCAAAACGACAATTTCCGATTGTCCCGGTTGTGTAACGGGAAGTTCTCTGCTGGGTTCTCATCGAAGTGGCAGGGTGTGTGTCGGGGACGGAGGGTGTCAGGGTTCCTATTTTACTGTTTTCATTGGGCCCACGGTGATGTCGGTGCAGGCAGATGCTGGAAGCCTGAGCGTGTAGAAACCCCTGTGAAAGCGGGAAAACTTGTCCCCTCTCCCTGTGCGGGAACTTAACTACTCAGCTCTCACCCGGTCGGCTTCTCGACCTCGCTCTTCCGCCGGCTTCAGATTGAAAGGGGTTGGGGAAGTCTAGCCAGATGGTAGGACATCCAGCAATCAATTTCTGAAAATGTCCTGGTTCTCCCTCAGTTGGTTGGGGACAGACTCATGCAACCCCCCCCCCCTTCCCCCGAGATCCCCGAGGCCGCCCTTCGGGGCCAGGGGTAGAGAGCAGAGGCCGCTTGGGGTCGGAGAGATGACTGAACCCGCGTCGAGCGGCCGGGGGACACCGCTGAACGGAGGGGAAGGTCGTGGACTGTCTTGTCCCCACACAATTTTGGAAGGGAAGGAGACGGGCCGCAGTCAGAGGCCTGCTCGAGATCCCCACGTGCCGAGGCCTTTGGGAACAAACAGGGAGCAGAACTGCCTGTTACTTCGCTGGTGCTAAGCCGACCCGGCAGCAGCTGCCAGGTCCTTCATGTTCTGGAACTGTGGAAGCCAGCAGAGGCTCAGGCCTAGGAGACGACCCTCTCGCCCTTGCGGATTCCTCAGACCCAGCCCGGATACAAGACCGCGCCCGCCTTTTATGGGATTCAGGTGTCGCTACTGCACCGCTGCATCCGAGGGCCCAGAGCCGCGACCTCAACCCCGCGCTTTCGAAGGGACTGGAAAAGTGCGCGCCTAGGGCGCTCCCCGCTGGGCCGCCGCCCCGGATGGCCTTGGGCGCAGCCGCCCGTCCGGTCTAGCCTCGACCCCCTGTCAGGAGCGCCCGCAGCGGACCCGACGCGGAGGAGTAGGAGGGCGTGAGTCCGGCTGGGGGCGTCGGCCACACCGACTTGGAAGGGAGGGTGACGGGTCGCACACCCTGTCTACCTTAAGTGCGAAGTAGAAAACGGGTCTCTACCAAGGTAAAATGAGCAGCGCTGATTTTAAATCTTAAGATAGTCTTTCCCCTGAGACATTAAAACACAGAGGCTGAGGAAATACTTTTAGGTAATGTAAGCGACACTAAGGGGCAAGGAAAGTTTCTTTTCCTCAGAACGTTGGCTCTCAGGGGTCTGGGGGCACGTCTTCCCCGGGACAGGCCACTTTTTAAAAAGTCTCACACGTCTCCCGCCTCTTCCCTTGTAGTCCCTGAACAAAGACCAGCCGCGGGGAAAGCAGGCGGCTGTGCGCGCTTCTGGGAAAGCTTTCGGCTTCACAGGCCCGAGTAAAAGAGGCGAAACGGCCCGGGCCGCCGGCACCCCAGGAAGAGTGGGCGCGAACTCAGCCTGGAACCCAGGCAGAGGCGCCCTGCGGAGACGCGGGAACTGGGAGTCGTTAAGCTGAGGGACGCCCCATTCGGTCCAACGGAGGCCTGGACCCTCCCCTCACTTTGCCGACCCGGGAGCCTTCAGGGCGGGGTAACTTCCGGAGTGCTCGGGGGTCCCGCCCACCAGACGCGCCCCGCCTGCCCCTCCCTCCTCGGCTTTGCGGGCCGGGGCTTTGAACTGTGGAAAAGTTTAGTTTGCTGGTT